TACTAATTATCTGTACTATATTGACCACCAAGAACAAATTTAAGATAAAACTTTTTTTTTTACATCCTCGTTTACTTAAGCTGATAAGATAGGATATGGTTGGATAAATCCTGTTATCCAACGTTTACTAACCATGAAGGGATTGAATAATAAGCTGATGTGTGGTCCCACACTTTTATGCACCATTGGCAGGATTATTTTGTCGGGTTTTGAGGGTGGAACATTTGAATCCCACCTTAGAAATGACCATTTTGTTCAAAAATTGGCATGTGAAATGTCTTTTTTACTCTTGGAAATCATCAAATTATAGATTTAGGTCATATAAATATACTTTGCTGCCACTTAATACTTTGCTTTTTATGTTATCATTTTATCCAAGTTAGTAAACATTTGATTGTTTTACATTAAAATGCATCAGAACACTGGACACAAGCTGACGTTAAGTTGTCCAATCCCATCATTTTAAGGAAACGAGGCTGTATAGAATAATGTTTTCTCTTTTTTTTTTCTTTCTTTTTCTTCTCTTTTGTTTACTTAGATTGTTTACGATGTAATCCTTCTCTTTAGTCTCTTGAGTCTTGACTCTCTTTTGCTGGAGAACTCAACCTGTTTTGTTGAATTCATCGACGAAAAAAATACGAGACTGGATTTATGTGAATGGGGTCGGAGATAATCGTGTTTCATTGTAGGTCAATGGGTACGCAGGGTGAAATACCTATCCAAAATCCTACAGTCAAGGTCCCTGCTTTGTTGATTATGGGGGAGCAAGATTACGTGTTGAAATTTCCAGGAATGGAAGATTACATCAGGAGCGGGACAGCAAAATCGCATGTGCCAGATTTGGAGATTCTATTCTTGCCACTAGGAACTCATTTTGTTCAAGAACAGTCGCCCGACGAGGTGAACGAAGTCATCCTTAACTTCCTCAAAACCCACAAGTAATAGGGGAATCAAACCAATAAGGCATTGTTGTTCAGAAAGGGCTTGGTTGTGATTATGTTTGTAAGAGCTTTCTGTTTTATCATGTTCTCAGCAATTGCCAATGTATTATTATGTTGATTCAAATGTACTATCGAGTCGAGTACAACCGAGCTTGTTGACTAATAGATCCAATAAACGAGCTCGAACTTGGTTCTCTTATCAAAATTAACGAGCTGATCAAAGCTGATAGTTCGAAAAGTTAAATAAATTGCTAGTTCTCAAGCCTAACAAGCAGATTCGGACTTGACTCGTTAACTAAACAAGCTCGAGCCTAGTCAAAACCCAAAGACTTTTAACGGGCCGAGTTTAAGTAATCCTACAAGTGACTCGAGTTTAATAGCTTTACTCAAAATCTAAATGTGTAAGGAGACAACACATACTCTGAAGATCCACATTATCTACACTACATTACAAACTGTGATACTTCACTTCATACTCTGAAGGCACAGTACTCTGAAATTCTGAAAATAAAATCTATATATCCTTGCATTTATGAAAGGATTTAAAAGTTTCCACCCTAAACTGCCAGCAACTATTTGCAGTTGACATAAAATGTGCTCGATAAGACTGCTGCTCCTTTCGGTATAACAGTACCCAAAAGTCGAGCCCGTTCGTCCCTTTCTTCACCCGAGACATGGACGACCACAAGGACCACGTGTCAGGAACAAGGCGGCCCGAATGGCAAAATGAGGAATGACGATACACAAAAGATTTATGTGCGTGGGATCAATATACAGTTTATTAATGAGATACCATTACCATAAAGAAAGAAGGAATTAGTATTGACTTGTTAATATACAGTTTAAAAGATATATTCAAGAATTGCTAAAAATATTCATAACTCAGCAGTGTACAATTATATAGAAGGTCATACAATCAGCACTCAGCAGGCCTGCACTTTTGGGTGGTGAAAACAGTGAGGCACCAAAGAGTGAATGCCATGAGACAATCTATGGTGGTGATGATGATGACTGTATTTTCCGGCAAGTGTTGGTGGGTCGGCTTTTTTGACAAAGGGATGGTCGAGAAGCATATCGGGTTTCCACCTGGCCGTCGGATCTTTCACCAAACACTTTGTGAGAAAATCTTTAGCCTCTTTGGATATTATTCTGTTGTTTGTTGGAATCTTGGGAATCTGGTCACTGCACCCAATCTTGAAGAGAACATCCTTTGGCTGGGCCTTGCTGTCGAAAGTCCATGGTTGTTTTCCGGTGAGCATGTGTAGAACCGAGCAACCCAAGGCCCAAACATCCGACTCGGGCACGTACTTCTGCTGGGCTATCGACTCTGGG